ATTTAACCACCTTTTTCTAAGCAATTTGCTATTTCCGATTTGTACACGACAATAATTAGCAGAATGAGTTCTTCCGAACGTTCCTCGAATACCCGAACCAAATAAGTTCTCGCCGTTTGCATCCTGGCTGAAACTCTCGCGTAGGCGTTCAACATGTACTGGCTACCAGATTGAAGTTTTACAAAATTAAGTTTTCCCATTTGTGTAGTCACGTACCCCGGAGAAAGTTTACAATCATCAAAGATTATTTATAAAGCTTCGTTGAAGTGGAGCTAATTAATATTCCGGACAAGGTAGATTTGTTTACATTGCCTACTGTGACGAAACCCAGCCCTGTGGCAATTCACACCCATTTCACACAATCAGTTATTGCAAACATGCTGGGCGATATATCCGAATCACGTTCATTCGCCGTTTATGGCAAATTATTTCACGGAATCGCTGCTGATTAGCAAAGATGTTCTGTTCTGTGCGAATTTATGATCGGCCTGTCTGGCCGGTTCGGGTTATTAAAATTGCTAATCTCTCCAGGGTCAAGGCAGTGGCTTTGTTGTCCGCTATCTTTGATCACGAAAATTTAAACGTTTCAAACCTACCGTGACAGTTCTTTTGTGCAGAATCTAATGATTTAACATTCGCGAGGCGGTAAAATCTAAGCTAGACAATCACCGAGGACGCATATTGATTAAATCTCGCATGTTGAGCGACAAAAAAGACAATTCATGCCTATATTTCAAGCAGTCAAAAACGCAATAACTTTGTATTAAAAGGGCGCCATTAAACAGTTCGCAGAGGGGGGTTGAAGGGCGCATCGACGTAAGAATTCTATTCAAACAAAGCAATTTAGCTTCGTGGAATTTGTAAATTCTCCTCAAAATAGATCTATATCCAGGCTTTGGCAGCTCTGTAAAATGTAAACAATCTTCTGAGCTTCGCTTTCAGCGCGATTTAGTTTGGATCTCGCAGCAAAGCTCAGACGATACACGATCGTTTGTTAAACACCTTGAGATAGCGCGTTAATAATGCATATTTTCGGTCCGTTCGACCGCAATAAAAGAAATCCACTACCCAGGAAGGATTATAAGAAAACAACCCATCTCTCAAGCACTTATGATCCCCGCCGATTTTTACTCTCGAGAAAATTAACCAAGGTCTTAATTCCATTAACACAGTGTTAAAGTGGCATTATTTTCTCTGTCTCGGACAACAGCACTGATTCCAGGTCGCAAATTACCTCTTCAAGATGTTTCAAAAATATCAAACAAACACGCATCGATAACTGATCCAACAGAAGTTTGATTCTGTCGACTGCATTTAACGAAATGTAACTCCAACCGCAATTAACTAGTAAAAGTCAGTTCCAAAAGATTTAATTAGTTTGCAGTTTGTAAATTAAACTGGAATTTTCGGCAGTAAATAATAAATGCAAAGAGATAAAGATCAAAATAGTTTCGCACAAATCACTAACAAATCTATTACAATTAAACTGCCAATCCTTTCGAAAATAAAGGATCGTTCAATAACGAAGCTGTTTTTTGTACAAGTTTACGTTAGAAAGTACAAGAATTAACAATGTTCCTTGGCTTGCAACATTTTCTATAGAAATTCAATACAATCGTGATTTTCTTTGGAATAACACGAACGAGGAAACAATATCGTACATTTCATGTTGAAATAAACATTCAACTGTAATATCCAAGCGCTTGAAAAATGTCCTTAACTTAAAGTTTGTTTCTCTCTGAGAGCACACTTGAAAAATACAACGGCAATAATTATATTTACAAAATATTTGGTCCGCAGTGTTTGCTGCTGGCTCAAACCGAAGTCTCGGAGTTGAGCCTCAATACAAACTTATTGCTTTCAAAGTCAAATTCGTCTTCTGAAATATCAAAGTACGGGAGTCTTCTAACCGTAACAATGATAGAAAGATCCTCGCATTTGAGTTGAAAAACTGTTGAGGAGGACAATGATTTGGTAACCTGTTCTTCGCAGACTAAACTCCAGCTTTGAGTTCGCTTTTTCGTCGTAAATTCTACACAGGGCTGGTCGTTCGTATAACGTTCCAGAAACGCTTTCGGGGTCATGTCGAAAGTAAGACAGTGAGCGAGATGTTTAATGATTCCATCCATTGTGAAGCGATGGTGGAGTCTTACAGTCCTTAGATATTTCTGAAGTGGTCGCGCAAACGATGGAAACAATGATTGCGCTGTCTCCTCTGGGTCCATGGGTACACACGGTCCGCGCTCGAGTTGCACGCGTTTGATGTGTCCAAACGCCTCCTCGCAGGCGTTATACAAGCGCGCTTTTCGCCGCTTAACCTTTCGATCGAACTCCGCTTCTTCGTAAAAGCGGTCGTTTCTCGCAGGATCGCGTCTACGGGTTGAAGCCGCTGTTAAGATTGCTTTGGCCCGTGGGTTTACTTTGTCATTTTGCTTGCCGTCTATGTCATAGAACTTGAGACTGGAGAACTGCTTGTGCGATGACCTCGCAGGAGTTTGCGTCAGATACGGATTATACTCGGGAAAATCCTTGTAATACTGCTCCAACACAAACACGGCCGTCCGCTGAATGGACAGAGGACCGATGTTATAAAATCGACTGACTCCATCGGTGCTGCGAATCACTTTGAGTGTAAACAAAGGGTCGGATTGTCGAATCCACAACACCACCAGTGATGCATAATGCAAGAAAAGCAGAGTATCTACCAACGTGACCGCAAAGTGAAGGATCTCAGTAAAGTGTACTGTCTTGTCGATGATCCGCAAACCGTAGAAAAGCCAGTAACAAACGAGGACCAAGAAAACAAGCGCCATCATTCCAACCCGAAGAACAAACACTCGAGGCAACGTGACCCGCGACAATCGAAAATACAAAGCCCAAATCCCGATCACTAATAACAGCTCTTTGACGGCAAAGCTGATGAAAAGACCATCACAGTTTGAGCCACAGGGTATAGGCTTCCATGTAACAACGGGAAAAACGACGAAAAAGATCGGCGAAGCAACAGCGAACAGGCACAAAATCGCTTGGGGTACGAGCTTAACATGGCGCCCGAACGTGCCGCATGAAATACCACGTCTTTCTTTGACAACATCACTCAAGTCTGTCTCGCTAAGTGTTACGATCGATGTTGCTGTTTCAGTGATAGATGTTGCTGTCTCTCCCCAATTGTCGTCTTGAGGAATAACCTGCACTTGTATAATACCTTCATCTAATATTTCTTGACTTCCAGTTTCCTCGGCTCGGTCTCGTCGGTCCCTATGATTATGGTCTCTATCGCGATCGGATTTGTGATGTTCCCCTCTCGGCATGGCTAAAATCTCCGGCTACCAAAGCCGTTCTTCGGCATGAAATGCTTTCAACTCTTAGCGCAACCCTTCAACTGATATACGCCTTTCTTTCTAGTGTGCTTGTGGGCAGAAGTGGAAGTTTTTTTGGCGCTCGTCTCAAAGCACAATCGCACACTGAATTCAAATACAGCACGTTTGTCGGAACGCTATACATGTCACTTTGAAGACCTCTCTTTTTCAAGAGTGACTCCCTTGGGAGCACATGATTGGCCACTTTAATTTATTAACATTCTTTGGAATAATTAGAAGCCCTATCAATGATCCTATTGGGAATTTTATCGTGTGCACGTGATTGATATTTACTCGGGTCCCTTATACTGCAAAAATTTATTCTGATCGTTAGAAATGCTTCACTGGACAAAAAAATAGAGAACCGGAGGTCGAAAAAATTCCATTAAGTGATTCTTGGCGGCTTATGTTCAATGGTTTGGAGTTTTTGCGTCTAAAATTTGTAGCGTGACTTCGTAGTTGAAATACGATCACTTGATGAAACGATTATTAACAAACAACAATATGAAATAAAGGAAGTTGTTTTGATGTCGAATTAACAGATTCGACATGCTTGAGTCCTAGTTCTGATACATTATTAAGCAGAAAGTTAAGAGACAAAGACCCAAGACAAACAAACATCAGGCCGGAAGCGACCTTCAAAGCGGGCTTCGTTTGGAATTTTTCGGGAGGGAAAAACAAAACATCTTAAGAATGGGGGTCGGTTAGATAGCTGAGATACCCTCAGAATGGTGTTAAACAGACATGTCACGCGGAGGCATTCATCTTGTGTTTGTCTTGTCCATCTGGGTTTCATGTTACAATGGCAAATTAATCAAATTCGAAAACGATTCGTGTATCACACGAGATTCAACTTGCTGCTGTTGTTGTAGGAACTTTTGAACTCCAGTAAGAGCTCGACAAAGTGAACTTCAGTAAGCAAAAACTGGATGTGTTGTACAGTTCACAGCGACTCGAATAAAAAATCATGATACAACAAAAGTGAACGAAAACTCGCTTTCAATCGAACTTTCTGACAGGAAACCAGGTAAAGAATGGGTTAAGTACAGCCACTTCCTGTACGCATATAAAGAAACACAGAGAATTGTTTATTTCTACAAATTGCATAACTCAAAAGCGATCAGTTATGGAGCAAAGCGGAAATGCATCATAAACACTGCACTCAAAAAGAAGTGTTCTCCTGTTGTGGGTTCACCGACAATCTACTTTGGGGTTTTACCAGTGGGATTCGGTTTATTTCGAAGCATGAGATGGTAAACTTTGAATCAAAGAACGACTTCGAAGCGACAGTGTTATATTTTCTATATTTTTTTTGCCGGACCAGGTCGAGATCCTACGCAGCGGGGTTGGAAGGAAGGGAGGGGTCAGTTTATACGGATAGATAATTCGCAAAGGCTGTCAGAAATTTAGTAGAATGGGAGAAAAAAATTAAAATTGAAACAACTAGGAATTCTTTGCTTAAAATGTAGAGAAGACAAAAACAGCACGGAGAAAGGAAAAGCGACACACTGCGCTCCCCACTCCTCCCTCCTATGACAAAATACGTAATTGTTTCCTCAGGAGGAGACAAGCGAATTATTACAGTTGAAAACCACAACGGCAGCGGAAAAAAAGCAATACAATGGCTGTGCACGTGCACAATAATTCTTGGTACATTTCTTTGCCGTCCTCTGTAAATCAACAACGTGAAATGACCAAATTCTGCGTTGTGTAGAAAACGTGAACCACAACGCATAATTTTTAACATTTATACTTCGAATTCAACGCCGAGTTCCACAATCAGTTTCGAGATAGCTTTGACAAAGAAAACCAAACTAAATGACTTAGGGTATCACGAGATTCGTAGGTAAAATATAAATATAAATTCATTTTCAACTGACTTTGCCCTCGGCGTCGCCATCGTAGCTCCTTAAACTCCGTATGAGCTTCAGGGAGGAACCAAGAGGTCGATAAAGCATTATGGCGCCAAAGCTTTTAACTGTTCGTTAAGACTATAAAAGATCGGTTAATCTCCTTAAAAAATCTCTCCATTATCCACCTGGCTTTGACACCAAATGAATCAATGCTTCAATTATTCTTCTGCGGTGAACTTGCGACAAGCGGCTACTTTTGAGAAGTATTATTACACACCTCGACACACAGACTGTTTCTACAGTTTATTAATTAAGACTGATTTCTAAAAAAGCAATCAACATGGTCTTCTGGTTTAAAATAACACTGGTGAGCACAGAGTTATTTGTGTTTAACAAATATGAAAACCACTTATCCAAAGAGTACAGTGAAAAAAGAAAAAATCTCTTAAAGACAATATAGCTCTTGAATCCGCGAGTAACTTATAAACCAGTCCAAGCAGATCTTCAGCGACCCACGCAGAGGTTGATTTCGCGTTTACTCGTTCCCATAAACGGCTGGTTAACCTGAAATGCTCGTGGATTTTCGCTGGTTGTTTCAGGAAGTCCGTCTGCGTTCGCAAGCAACCTACACCCGCCCGATTCCGCAAAGACATAAAACTGTTCCACAACAACTATAATTCTCTTTACTGTTGTATGGCTTATAAACGCTGATTCATAAATGTTGTAATAATTACCGTAATCCATGAATGGTACATGGTATAATGCAATTTAACTGACTTAAGCTGTCAACATAAATTAACTTCAAAATGTTGCATTGAGTTGTTCTACTTGTAAAATTATCACTGCAAAGCGTAGACAACTTTTTTTCGCTTCTGTGCGCCTAGACGTTTTCTAGTTTCTGCAGTACAAAAACCATAATATGGCGGCCTGTTCTGAACATTATATAATGACTCTTCAGATTTTGATTCCAGTAAAACTTCATCCTCACTTGAGACGAGGAAACTCGTCCGGTAGAAGAGCGTGAACACGGCAAGTTGGACATGTGCTTTGCTCTCCCACCAACCACTTACGGATACACTAAAACAAATAAACAAGCCACATTAGTAAGCTAATAGCCTTCTTCAACATTATAAGGGGTTCCCTATCCTGCTGCGGGTTCAGTCGAGATTCATAATCTGGACAACTGAAACAGGACAAAAGATTTCAGGGGGCTTACAAATCCCCGAGGGGGCTGTACGATGTTCCGAAAAACCGATCTGTCAAAGTATTCCCGAAACCAACACAGAAATGTCTATTTTCCCTGATTAATCATCCAGTGTAATCATTCAAACTAGAAAACACACGTTCCTTTTTTGTAATTCTTTTTTTTTTTTCTGGCGGACAACCTGGTCCTTAGCTTATCTATTCTTCAAAATATAACAAAATTTCAAACTAAATCACTACAAAGCAAGTGTGAATTTGGGCTGAATGAATAGACCGTTTTCACTCACGTGGCCAGCAACCATGAAAATGTATTGAAAGAAAGAACGTGTTTACATAAGAAAAAAAGTTCGACTCCCACAGGATTGGTTTGGTACACCAATATGGCCGCCGTTTCATTGTTTTGGGACACCAATATGGCTGCCGTGACGTCATGTGAAAACAATCTAAGAGTAAGCCAACGTGATGTTTGCCGTGCCCACTCGGAGTTTTGATCGGACAAAGAAGAATCGCAAACCCTTTGAGAGCTTTCATCATAATTTGGAGAAAGCGATTCTCGATTCCTTCACAACAGCGTAAAATAATAAATCTTACCGCTGAATGATATCTGTGTCCGCATTCTAAAGTAACAATATCAAAGGACGCATTCATGTCCTCATGACAAATGACACAGGGGTCCTCTTCGTAGCTTCCGCTGCCAATCGCCACCATCTTGGACGCGTCTGCCGCAGGCTTGAAGGCCTGGATTGGCTGGGTCTTCTGTGGCATCACGGGTTTGGATGCTCGTTGAGTGGTGGGACTGTTGTTGCCAGGTTGCACAGGAGCAGTTCGCAATAAACCAGCCTGGAGAAGAAATTAAACAGAAACTGAGTGATACGCACTATTGTGGATAACAAATACCTTACCACACTTTCAGACAGTTATGAAAACATTTTAGTGTCGATAACACTGCTTGAGAGTACATCAAAGTCAACACTACTCGACACTAAGGACAATGTGGTAACTTCTAGTTGAAGAAATATTGAAGAAATATTGAACTTTCAACCTCATTTAGAATCGAGTTGCTACTATGCACACATAGCTGTTAAGTTCCATACCTTCTTCTTCTGCTCCACAAGTTCCGATACACTAGCAACGATATCCTCCAGTGAGAGCCCAGTGAGGGAGCCATGTTTATTATGGCGTACCTCCTTGATAAACCCAGTCAGTTCCAACCTGTTATAAAAATAAAGCATTCACATTTTAAGGTGCTGTACCACGAAACGTCAGGTCTACAACGCAAAAATGTCATCACTAAGACCTCAATATAAGAGTAAACACGAAGAAGGTACAATTAATACGATGAACATAAAATGTGACCAGATTGTGATATAAAGGATTATACTTCATTATTTAAAAGGTACAATACCTGGTGAAATTTGGGTACATGGTTGAGAGACGCAGCATAATCTTCTCAAAGCTATTCGAGGGTCTTGCCTTATCAGCAGCTGCAGCTCCAGCCGTAGCAGCAGCAGCAGCTCCAGCCATAGCAGCAGCAGCAGCAGCAGCTCCAGCTACCGGAGCAGGGGCAACGGCGACAGGGGTCTTGTCTCCGTTTACGGAAGTAGTACCAGCCGCAAGTGGGGCCACAGCTGAAGCCACAGCTGAAGGGCCTACCGTCTTAGCACCAGCAGAAGTGCTAGGGACAGGAGCGTCGGATGTCCTAGGAGCTGAGCTACTGGTTTCCGCAGGAGGCTGGGGTTGAGGTTGGTTTTGAGGCTGTCCTGGTACCTGGGAAACAAAAGAGAAAGAGAGAGAACAATATGTTAACAGTGGAATAGAGATGTAAATGCGAGTAAGGTGAAACAACAGGTCTTCACTTAATCACTCACCAAAGACTGTAAAACTGGAATGGCTGGATATGGAGGAGGCCCTGGGATGGTCAGTTGAGGTACACTTGCCAGTGTCCTGCCAGTTTTTAGAAGCTCAATCTGTTCATTAAACGTTGCCTAAAGGTAATCAGAACTCCGTCACTATCATGCCTAATTAAGCTTGGTCATGCTTCTCAACTTAAGCAAGTTTCTAAGTTCCACGCAGCACGAGAAACAACTTTCCAAAACTATCCAAGTTAGGCACACCATTTACATCATTGTCGTAAAAGTATAATTATAAACACACCCACCAATTGCAATCTTGACCCAATTCAGCCGAAAAGTTCGCTAAGTAATAACCTCGATTAGTATCACCCAGCTAGTGGATTAATGCAAATCCTACATTTTGATNTTGGGTGATACTAAAACAATTAGACCCTTCGCCCTTAAGGGCCACGGGTCAATAGCCCATTCGGCTTCGCTTCATGGGCTATTGACTCGTAGCCCTTGTGGGCTACGGGTCTAATTGTTAATTAACACCGTACAAACTACTCCGTAGACTCAACGCGACAGAGACTCATCAGTAAGGACTCCCTCCCGTCCCCCCCATTAAAAAACGTTGAATGAAGGGTGGACCGGGCACTTAATTCTAAAGATACTAAGCCTGACTGTCGTTTACCAATGGCAAGTCCTATTGGTAATGTATCACGTGGTTCGCCAATCAGAATGGCTATTCCTACAGGTCAGAGTTCAGTATCACGTGGTCTAATCGTACCTTGCACTGCACGACTCTCTGATGGCATTCAGAGGCATAGTTCTTCCATGTAGCAATCAACTCCTCCACTTTCGGGCCTGCAATCCTGTATCAAAACAGACAACATTGTCTCAGGTTCGCTTCTAAAAATACACCGCAATTACGAAAGAAATGACCTCCTCTTAAAGGGTGGTTCCAGATAGAAACGGGATATTTCATATGCGTCAGCGTATGAAATATCCGGCAAGCGTAGCGGCAAAGAGCTCTACAAATTTACGAGAATACACTTTCCGTCCCATTCTCTCCCCTCTCAAATAGCCACATTACTAACCTGGCATTTACAGCTTGTATCAAGTTGTTGATCGTTATGTGTGATTCTTGGTACGCTCTTTCCAAAAACCTCAAGCCAACGTCGCGACGAAGCTCCAACAGCTTGATCTGCCATGAGAGAAATCATCGCTTACTTGTCTCTTTCTTACTTAGTACTCATTGTAAAGCGTTGTTTAGCGTAATATGGAGCGGTTTTCACTTGAGTCTCCAAAATAATTTGGATTTGCTTTGGTTTTACGTTACGCTACTTGATTGGTTAAGAAAAACTCATGCCACTTTATCATCCAATCAGAAGTAAAACCAAACCAAATTGTGACTCATTCGAACACGCTTTCCCGCGCTTCGCGTCAGCTACGTCAGTGTGTTTGCTTGAGTTTTGATTGGTCCACTGTAATGCTTGCGTCCCTTGTGAATGGCCAGAGTTATTACTTTCGTTTTGGTCTCATGGTACTCACTTGAAAACTGTTCTATGATTCTAATGAGAACCTCTTGTCCCCCTTTTCTCCCTTTCCATAGTTGAAGGTAAAAAGCGAAGATTCGCTATTCCGTCAAAGTTTCTCACGATAACACTGCAGGTACAGAGGGAACGTCAATCATTCCAAACAGACAGCTTACCTCTGCTTCTTGAGCTCTTGCCTGTTGCTGTGTAAGTTGTAGTTTACCATTTTTCAACAACTCGTCTTTTTCAGCGCGTTCCTTATTCCAAGAGTCCCTGTCAAAAAAGGAAAATAAGAGAAAATAAATTTATGGAGCTTAGGGAATTTTCCGATTCAAACTAATTATTTATCAATTAGCGCCAGAATTCACGAGCACTCCAAAAGTTGTGACGTCACTAGAAACGTCATGTCGCTTAGCAAAGTCGCTGACGATGAAAACCGTGGACTCCCTGGATTTTCGCAAACAGTATTTTGTCCAAACCAAGCGCTTTTCTCCCCTTTCTGTAATGTATTAGGTAGGGTTGAACTTACTTCTCAGATGTAAATTGTCCTTTACAAGATGAAAGTTCCTTCTTAAGGTTGCTAACCAGGTTGGATCTGAAATGACAGAAACAGCAAGATAAAATCTCAAGCATCCTCTCGGTAAAGATTTGTAAAGCCACCCAAGGGCTTTGATTGTCTAATAACAAAATAGTATCAGACTACAGGTACGCATAAAGAAGCCTTTTGGAGGCTAATCTATGCGTACCGATTTATCGGTACGATCTGTAGGGCGCGATAATGAATGAAGACGAATGGCTGTCCACAAGCCCAAGAAAAAGAGCCTTCATTTTCTTTTGTTTTGTTGGTTTTGGGAATGCCACGTTACAATGACTCACTTTTCGTCTGCGTCTTGCTGCAGTTTATGATTCAAGGTTTTGATTTTATCATCTTTGTCTTCACACTGTTGACGCAGTTTTCGTATTTCCTCCTGATTTTTCTGTTTCACCTCCTGCACTTCTTTGGAATATTTCTGCAAATAAGAACATTATCAGTCAAAGGTGTGATCAGACAAGTTTCTTCAGAGCGCCATCACCTCCGCGCACCGGAGGGAGGGGGTGAAGGGTACTCCCTGTAATGGCCTATGTGGAGAGGCTCCGTCCGAAAGGGGTAACTCTCTCAGTCTTCAGGTATATTTCAGGGTAGGGATTTTACAAGTTGAGGTATATGAAGGAGCAGGGATATCAGAGTATCTTGACTCCCGCCACAACATGAACTGAACTAAAAATACTTGTTTTTTGGTTAACATCTCTTCTGGTACTGCTTGGTGTTCTCCCATAATATTGTTCCTACCTTCATTCCAAGGGTTTAGAAAAGGGATATAGTGTTCTAAAGTAGGTATGTGAAAGAGGTACTTTTTCAATAAAAAGGTATGCGGAAGGGGGTAGCTTTTCTGTCAAAATGATATGAAGCAACTTTCTCTGTAATTTCTAGGCTAAGAAAGTTTGGGATAATTTAACCAGAACTTTTTCATGTTTCTCGTTTGCAATCTTCTCCAATCTTAACCAACCTCTTCTATGTTTCTCGAACTTGGCAAAATATTATTTTGAGTTTTCCTTCCATTTGAAGGTAATTTGTTACAAGGCATACCTCCTATATTCATCTCAATAACCCATTTCCGAGTTGCCTTAAGCCTCTCCATCAAAGCGAGGCCGGCTGCACAACCATTCATATGAAAATGAGTTAAATTTTAATGTGAATGAAATCTCATTTCGTACGAAATGATGGGCACCAAGACTCGGTTTGAGAAAGAGGCTAAAAGTGATTCGGAAATGGCCTTTAATAATGCTTTTGCGTTTTCCAAGATATTCACCTCTTTCTCTTGCAATGCATCCGCCAGCTTCTTCTTAACTTTCTCGCACTCAGAAGTGTTCTTATTAAGTAAGGCGTTATGCCTTTCAGTGTTTTCCTGTAGCCGGGCTTGCAATGCCTCTTTTTCAGCCGCGGCTCTCTGATATTCAGCTTTAAAAGGTTCAGGGATGGGATCCGTTCCCACGCCTTTGCTTTTCACATTAGGCTGTGTTTGAACTGCTTTGGTCTTGCTAGTTATCACAGTTTCAACACTGGAGCTACTGCCTTCAAGTTTATGATTGCTAGTTTGCACCGGCGTGGTGTCCTCGCCCGCAGCTGGTGCGACTGTCTGCTTTTCAACTGTTTCGACAGCAAGCATAGCTTGAGACAGATCACAACTCGAATCTTCAAAATTTTTACCATTAATAGAGGATGGCTTGGCTATTAAAGTGACTGTGCCACTGGAAATGTCCGCAAAATCATCCCGCCGAGTTTTAACGGTCTTTTTCGTTGTTTCGCTAAGGTGATCACTTTCCAAAACGTTTTCCTCTGCAGTGTTTCCATTGGAAGTCTGCTCCATTTGCTGTATAATCGCATTTTTTTCGTCCTCGATTTGATCATCGACTAATTCAACATCCTTTAAAGTGGAGTTCGCGTTGGCTAGAGAAGTCATTGACGAGCTAAATGTTAATGAATCCGTTTGAGATGACGACAAAAATTCCTTGGCATCCGGGTTTAACGGAGGAGAAATTGAAGAAGGAAAAGAGAAGTCATCTGATGCTCCATTTTCGAGTATCTCAGCCACAACAGAACCATCACCGCATATGGATTTACTATCACGAGATCCATTTTGACAGTTTGCATCGTTGTTTTTACTTCCATTCATCATCGTTCTCTCGAGGAACGGATTGTTACTCGGCTTAGGTTTTAAGGATTTTACTAAGTCTTCGATCTCTTTGTCTTCAGGAAGCATAACCCTGTTACCATCAAACAAAAATTTACCAGATTGTTCTAGAATCGGCCTAAGTCCTCCCGCATTGGAAATAATGTCCTGATAATTGTCTGGTAAAATGCTTAAAGGTTGCATGATGTATGGGTCAGCCAGCTCCAGAGCTCCATTGACTCGTAAAATCTCCTGCAACATTCTACAAAAGAAAAAAAAACAGTGTATAACTAGGAAGAACATACAAAATTTAGCTCTTGCATTAAGTTACTTTAAAGAAAAAAAGCCCCCAGCCCGCTTCAAACCATGCAATCAAAAACTCGGACGTTCACAGGCGTTTTTCCAACGCCACATTTCATAAGAAGAAATTTCAAAAGCAAATACCGCGTTCAATCAGTGTTCCAGATAAGCGAGGGGTCTCAGATCAAAAACCCGACAAGCACAGCTACATGACCCGACAAATGGATAGAAAATTAATAATGATTTGGTGAGAGCAGTGGGAATGGACCCATTGGAATTCCTTATAGATACCATATCTTGAAAACGTATCTGGAACCCTGTCAATATTGAACGCATTTCTCTCATTTGTGCCATAGCTGCTAATTGGCAGGGGAGGTTGGGGTGGGGAAGGGAGAGTGGGAGGGGAGGACAAGGGGGAGAGGGAGGGGATGCACTTGTTTATAAAGTAACCAACTATCTTTTCTCCATCAGGGATAAACTTACGAGCTCACGTATTCTGTGACTGCTTTCAGGTCAATCTGCGGTGGCGGCGACGGCGGGGGCGGCGGCGGCGGCGGTGGAGGAGGAGGAGGAGGAGGAGGAGCGGCTGCGCTTAACGAAAAAGAAAACGTAGCGGGATCCATAGCCATGAAGCTTGCGTCCAGCTCGGCTGCATCTCCCTGTAGGTGTGCAGGAATAGCGAACGGTGCTTCCATCTCCTGCTGACTCCAGCCCGGCGGTGGAGTAACAAATTTACTACAAAAAGAAAGAAAAGAAAAGAAAAATATAGAAAGTTCAGGCACCCTTGGTAGACCAACTTTTCCCTTAATTATATGAGCTAAGCTCTGTCAAACACCTTGAAAAAGTTAGCCTAACTG